ATCGTAATATGATGAATTCGAAATAATTTTCCATGAGGAATAAATTATTGTTCCACTGAGCGTGCCAAAAGGTTACCGTGAGTTGAAAATTTCTAAACGAATGAAAACCAAAGGCTTCTTACTAGAAGATTTAGAGTAATTAAATCCCTGATTCGTATTAAACACAGTGTCCAGATGTTGATAGTATAGAAATTATAGAAGAAGAATAAAATGCTAAAAATTAAATAAATTGTAATAAATAAAAGAAATATAAATTTTGATTAAAATATTTGAATTTGAGTTTTTACGATAATTACAATGTTTTTTTATAGAATCTAAATTATGCTTGCGAATCACCGCAACCTTTTACTCTACTAACAATGCGAATAGATGCAACTTTTCAATAGAAAAATAAACACAAATAAATTATTTTCTAAGTTTTGTTTAGAAAATTTGAAAACCATCCAACTTCCTAGATCTGATAAAATAAAATAAAAATAAATATAATATTGCAATTAAAGATGGAGTACCTTTTCTTTGTAAAACATATCCAGACCCTTGTAAATATATATGAAAATAAGCGGGGCCTTCTAAAATCACAAAAACTCTCTCAAGCCTTCATAAATACATCTGAAAATACTCCAGGGCATCGTAAATACCTCTGATTATACCTAAACTATTTAAAATATATCTGATAGCGCACCTTTTGAAAAAATATTTGGCAACGCCTGCATCCTATCTGAGTAGCTTGCATCAGCCCCGGCAACTTCCCCATTAGCTTGGGGCGACTTCTGCACTACTCCGGGTGACTTCTGCATTAGTTTGGATAATTTCTGCATCAGATAAGCGACTTCTGCATCAGCTCGGGTGACTTCTGCATTAGTTTGGATAATTTCTGCATCAGATAAGCGACTTCAGCATCAGCTCGGGTGACTTCTGTATCTATCCAGGAGCCGTCTGCATTTATCCAGATTCTTTTGCATCAATCCAGGTGCCCCTTCACACTATCTGGGCCCTCTGCATTTTGTTGGACACTCCTGCACTCTATCCAGGTGTCTTATGCTACTAGTCTGAGCGCCAGTTTTATCCGGGCTACCTGACGATCCCCAATCACGAACGGTCAATATTTGATCGCTGACAGTATATGCTATCCAAGCGAATGATTACTTAGGCTCCAGGCGCTCATCGACTCTGAACTCCATTTAAGCGCCACCCAGTTCTTGTGTTTTCTAATGTTAATTTTTATTTTGTGGGATAACAGCAATAAACCAATAAACCATGGAATCCGAACCACAATATTTGTTTACAAAAAGGGATTTCACATAAACAAAGACTCAAGCTTTTTTCACTAAAAAAAAAACATGATTGTCTAACATGAAATCCAACTATGACCAGTGAGATTTTATGGCTTAAACAATGAACAAGAATCATAGTGAAGCCAACCAGTCAGCAAGTCCTAACCATAAAACTTCAAGAAAGTTTTAAAATTTTTATATTAGCAAATAAGCTCTTTCAACAGAGAAATATGGATATAAGCCACAATTACCTTTCTAAGTCATGTCAACCATTAAAAGGGACCAAATATATTTGCAAGCAAAAAATCAAATAATCAAAGTCATCAATAAAATTGAAAAGTCATATATATATATATATATAAATACCAAAATCAATAATCAGTTCTCTACTACAATCTCATTAATTCATAAGCGGTAACTTATTTTTTAGAAGCAAAATACACAAACAAAAAACTACCTAACAATATAAAACATTAAACTAATAACACTAATCTTGAAAACCTATATATAAGTCCTAAACCCTACACCGATTATAACATGACAAATTTTTTTACCTAAAATGCAGATATCATGGCAATAACAGATGCCCCAATAAAAGCCTCCTATGTTTTCTTTGGTGGCAGTTTGATCAAATGAGTTTTCCCAACGAAAAATCCAAAAAGATAAGTAGGAATATCATTGATAAAAATAAGTGATGCTGGAAGAAGAAACCTGCAATATTGGCATCATATACATATATATTATCGTGGACTCAAAGTAACCTTAATAAAACAATATTAGATCTCCAAGATCAGCTCCCAAGTGAACACCCAATCATGAACACACCAACGACCAATGATGGTGGACTAGAGTTTCTAATCAAGTCTTGATTCATCATCACTTGAAGAACATAGATTGACTTATGGCAATTAGGGAGGGATAAATTTACCGAACATATCGAAATACAATTTATCGTACCGTATCGTGTTGAAAATACCGAAAATTTCGGTACTGTATGGATATCGTACGGTATCAGTATGAATTTTCGGAAAGTTCGGTATTTCGGTATGATACCGTACCAATATTATTTTTATTAAATAATATAATTATTAATATAAATAATAATTATTAATATTTTTTTAAATTATAACAAAAAAAAAATATGTAAACTATTGAAAATTTATTGGTTTTTTCATAATATTTTTATATTTTTGTAGTAGAGAATAGTGATATTTATTAATTTTTTTAATTATTTTGAAATTTAAATTTATATTTTCGGTATAATCGGTATATACCGGTATCTACCAAAATCAAAATTTTCGGTATAAGCGGTATATACTGATTTCGTATCGAAATTGAAAATTTCGATTGAAAGGGTATATACCGGTACCGTACCGAAAATTTCGGTATACCGAATTACCGAAATTTGGTATATTGAAACTTTCGGTACAGTACCGATATGTATTTTAGTCATACCGAAAAATTCGGTACGGTATCGTGGCAATAATATGGAGGTACAACCTAGGGGTGGCAATTCGGGCCGACCCGGTTGTTTTCGTGCTTGGACGGCCCGATTTCGAAGCGAGCTTGAACAGCTAGGCCCGAGCACGACTCGGTTAAAAAACGGTTCAATCTGTTTTATTTTTAATATTGGAAATTAAACTCACAATCTAATATAAATAACGCCCATATTTTACCATCAAGCTATGTCTACATTTTTGTCACTATTTTATTAGTTATTATATATATTAAATACTCTCTCCATCCCACTTTCTGTGTGCACCTTTTCATTTTCGTCTATCTCACTTTATTCTGTCACTTTCATTTTTTGAAAAAGTATTATACATTTTAATCTTATTTTAAAAATTTTTATTTAACTTTTTTAAATTTTAATTATACAGTTATCTTTATCTTAGTCTTAATTTAAAATTATTTTCATTAATACATACTTAATTATTTACTAATTATCTTTCTCCTAAATTCTAGTATCTACAACACGGACACTATACCTAAGACGGAAGGAGTATTAATTTTAAAAAATCAAGTCGAGCCAGGCACGACCCGACCTTCATGGGCCTGGGCACAGCCCGATTTATTAGCATTTCGGGCTAGGCACAACCTGAAAAAATTCGGACCTAATTTTGGAGGTCCAACTACAGTTTTTTGTATCGGAATTGGATCGAATTTTTGAATTGTGTCTATTTTTGCCACCTCTCATACAGCCAATGCTGAAAATGTTGGCTATTGCTCATTATAGAATTGCCAAAGGGCCAAATATATAGATCACAACGACTTCACTTAAATTCTCAAAATAGGCCAAAACTACCGGGACACAACCAAATTTCTAATGAAAACCTTACTCTCTACAACTTTAATGGATTTGTGGAGAATGCGTAATTCAACATCTCAAGCAATAGTATATACTAAGATTCAATAATTTCTTCCATTTGTACAGTGAAAACATGAATATTCGGGAACCTGGATATTAGCAAACGTTGGCCCAACAATTACTTCGATTTTTTTCAGCCACGATCAAATCTAAAAGTAGAGAAAAAACAACAATAACATTAGCACAATTTTCGTAAGTAATTCTACATTGTAAACCTGAATAGTTTGAAAACAGTGCTTATAAATGAGCCAAGCAGATGATTTCCAAAGATGAAAATTTCCAATCTAATAGCGATCGTCGGTGCCATCCCGAGAACCAACACAACCACACTCAAAACTACTTGTCCTCCTTGTTCGCAAACACTTCAAAATTTAATGCTTCCTTCGTCCCAATACAATAGTCTTATTTACTATTTTTTTCCGTCCCAACACAATAGTCTCGTTTCTATAAATAATCATATCACTATAAAACTATCTTTACTTTTTCATTATTATTACACAATTACCATTACTTTTTACACTAATACTCTCACAAGGGCAAAAAAAATTTTTACCAGTATTTTTATCACTATCAATATAATATTAATATTTTTTAAATTCCGTGCCATACACAACCCATACTATAGTTTTGAGACGGAGGAGGAAGAAGTATATCAAATTGTCATATTTTAGATTTATTCTTATTTCTAAATATAATGCAATTAATGTTATTGATTTTTTTAATTAAAAAGTCACAAAAATAATTTTAATACAATACTTAAATTATCCCGGATCATTATGAATCGCAAGATTAAAAAATAAATTGATCTAACGACTTTTATTAATTTACTATGATGCTGACTTAATACTTGCTCAACACATATCAGCCACCGGGAATGGTGTTTTTTGTGTTTATACAGTGAGAAAGTAAAAAAAATGAATTAAAATTATTTTTTGATCAGTTGGGATGATATTTTGAATAAATAATTATTTCTAATGTTATATATATATATATATATATACAAAAGTATTCAGTATAGATTTTCTAGAGAAGAAAAAAATATTAAATTATTATACATGAATTTGTGTTTTTTTAAAAATATGCCGATTCAACAACATTAGACTTGAGACTATGAGGTCATATGTTCAAACTTTCGATGTCTCAGGTCATCTGCCACACATAATTTGCCTATGGGACGTAGTTTGTAGGATATTAGGTTCGACTGTGGGACCTAATTTGCAAGATATTAGATTCGACCGGGGTTTACTCGTACTTTCGGGGGTCGATTGCGTATTCCCACGTCATAAAAAAACAAATAAAAAATAAAAGTAAATAACTAAGATGGTAACACTAGGCCAGAGAGTGCCCTCTATCAAAACAAAGATTTCGAATTTTATTAGTGGATGACTAGAAGATAGATAGATGGATATATAGAGACGAGTGACAACAGATATATCATCTATATATATATATATATATATATATATTAATTAAGAGACAGATAGAATTACTTATTCAAGCCACCACAGTAACGCCATACACCATATACATACCTAATAGAAATATAACTAATGAAGAAGCAGCAGTAGCAGTAGCAGTAGCAGTAGATAGAGATGGGCTGGGCTCCGCAGTCAGCAGTTGGTGGGAATCTGGACGGCGCATGTGGAGGCGACGGCCTTGGCGTTGGGGGAGTCGATGTAGGGCTTGAAGGCCGGGTTCCTCAGGTACCTGCACAGGCATGGTTGCTGCGACCTCAGCTCTTGGCAGCACTGCGCCGTCGGAGAACCCGACCCAGATAACGCCGGCAGGCATGGCCCAAGACCCATCGGGTCGCATCTTATCACCTTATCATCATCTCCAGCAGCACAAACACAAATACAAACACAAGCAATTACAGCCATCAGAACCTGCACCCCCACCCTGCTGCTCCTAATTCCGCCCATCATCTTCTTCGTCATGCTCATGCCCACAATTGTATGTATATATATTTATATATATATATATTAATTTATTATTGATGATATTTTATTTAGAATTTGAGTTTGGTGTGTGTTGTTAAAAGAAATTAGAGGTGGTGGAGAAAAGTTGGGGTTTCTGGTCTGCTATTTATAGACGTACGTGGGCAAGGGGCGTATTGCAATTTTTGTTGAGTACATGGCTATAAAGAATACTTGTGATGTCATTTCAATTTATACTTACTGTTGTTTTGAACTGACATAAAAAATTGAAAAAAAAAAAAAAAAATACAAATTCTGATTACTAAACTGTGCAGTGCGTAAGATTTTAGTTTTGAATAGTAAAATTTTGAATTGAAATAATTATTTGATGCAATATAAATATATATTAATGTGATATTTTGAATATAAATTTTAATTTTAGTGTAATATAATAAAAAAGATACTAAGTATTTAATTTGATATTTTTAAACAGAAAAAAAAATTACAATAATAAAACTAAAAATCAAATCCCACGAGTAAACTACTACATTTTATACTTAATGTAAAAGAATGAAAGAGTATATATCAAATACAATATTTTAAAACATCAGCAAATGTGTTGATTGAGTCAAATTAATATCATATTTATTTGATCTTATGAGAATATATAATCAAGACAGTTGTACAATATAATATTGTATCATATAAAAATGTATTTTATTTAATTTATATATTATATTGTGTTATATAAATAATTCACTGAAATTTGTGTGTAGTTAGAACATTAAATAACTTTTCTATTTTAATTATTATATTATTTATTTACATTTCATTTATAGTTAAAAACTTATCCATTCATATTTTTATTATACTCTTAGTTATCATTATTTTTTTATTCATTCTACTATTTTTTTATTAATATTTTAATAAATTTTTTATAATAGTCCCACATTATTTTTCACCTATCTATTTTAATATTTATCACTATTTTTTAATTTTTTACTCAATCAAATTTATATAATTCTACTATGGAAGGAATAATATTTTTATAGTATAAAAAAGAGGATAAAAGGAGATTTTTTATTTACTAAAATAATAAAGATAACATTTCTATGACATAAAAATTAATATTACTATAACAAAATGAATATAAATTTGAATTAAAGAAAAAATATATATTACCGTGGGTTGAAATTTCTCTAACAGGATGATAACTAAAGACTTCTTTTTGTATAATTTAGAGTTATTAAATCTTTAATTCGTACCAAATGCAGCACCCAAACGTTTGATAATAAGAAATTAGAGAATGAAAAGAAAATGTGTGAAAATTAAATAAATTGCAAGAAATAGAAAGGAAATATAACTTTGTATTGAGATGTATGAACTTGCCTTACAATGATTACAATATATCATATTTATAGAAGCAACGGTGTTTACCAATAGATACACCATTCTAACTTATTAGAATTACGAAAGAACACAACCCTTCGTACAGTGAAAAAAAACATTTATAATAATTAATTAATATTTGTTTTTTAATTATATTTAAATTTAGAAATTTATCATAATACCCATCCTGTATAATCTTTAAATCTGGTAACAAATCTTAATATTTTGTTAACAAAAATCCAAGATATCATAATCAAGATAAAATCCGATAGCATATCAAAATAACATTTAATCAAAATAAAATTTGATATCATATCAGATTTTCAAACTTTTATTCGCAGCCAAAATCAATCATCCTCACTTTTTCTTTTTTTATTGTCTTGTTGCCACCAAGAACATGTTTATATGTCCATGCATATATCAACATTGACTTTTTCATGATTACACCCTTAATTTCTTTAAAAATATATTTTTTCCTTTGTTCATGGGTTTTATTTTATTTTATTTCTTTTTTTTTATCCATGGACTTTACCTTATCCATGGTTTTCACCTTGTCCATAGTCATATAAAAAATATTTTCTTTGTCCATGCACTTTATTTTTTCCATGGATTTTAATTTATTCATTCCTTGTTCATAGGTTTCAATTTTTCTATGAATTTCCTCTTTTTCCATAGATTTCAACTTTTTCATGGAAATATATTTTTTTTCCCTTTTCCATGTTACTTGCCTTTTTCATAGAAACAATAACATAGGTATACGCTTCAACTATTTAATGCGTCACGATTAATTTTTTGTGGTAACATAGACCCCCCTTCACTCATATGGCTGAATATTTTGAAGTCATATAATGAATAATATTCCAGAAACTCAGAACTCTAGATCCGCAAACACCTAACACACGGTTTCTTCTGACAATAAAAGATGAATTTTAGTCAATCCATTGTTCGACCATGGTCTTGATTTGATATGTAGCAGTCCATATCTCGGCTAAGGGTACGATCCAAAGGTATTCTCCAGCCAATGATACGTATTATGGATTTCTACCAATACATCATCTTCTAGTTGTTGGAGTCGGCCTCATTTGGGCCGCATATATCATTCGAAATCCTTGTAATGTAAATTGACACAAATTCCAAAGCTTAATTTTCGTATGGATAATTCCACAGTGGCGTCAATTCGTACATTTTAGTATTATGTCCGAAAAATTTCGGATCTACTCCCACCACTTTAATCTTATCTTTGTCCCAAAATATCAATTGTTGACAAATATTGGATGGAACGTAATGAGAAAAATGGACTCAATTCCTAACTTGGTGGGCGATGTTTATAGTATTTCCAAATTTAGACGGCACACCTACATCTTTGTGTCCTCGGATGTAGTCTAGTCGATGTACTTGAATGAGTGTGTGATTGATGATTTCAAATATGAGCATATTCCTCGCTTGACAAAACTATGTATTATTTGAATTTCTGTATAAAAATTATCACAATATTTGATTTATGGCATACTTTATTGCTCTATCTCGCTTGGCATGATCCAGAATAGGTTTGTTGAGATTATTAACAATTTTTGTCATTTTAAGCGGTAATTTGGGTCCAGAAAAGCTAAGGCAAGAGAGGCAAGCAATAACTTCTACCGCTCGTAAGCAATAGCCGTCTCCGCTTGCAAGCGATGCTCCAGCGCTCAGTCCAGCGACCAGACACCCACCACAGCGAAGCGACGGCAACTCAAGGCAAATATCGCCTAAGTGTCCAACCCGCAGCGGTACAGCAATTCCACTACCAGCCAACACAAGCAAACCCGCTTAACTGCGCTGATGCCCTCTAGCCATCCAGCAAGCGAGGAAGATCTACGTCCTTACAAGCCCAAGCAAGTGAAGTGAGCACCCTGGGAGTTATGTCCAGCAACTGCTTCAACAAAATAACCGCCACCAGCTGCCTAACTACCTAGCGGTTAGAACTACTTTGTAACTGCTTGCAACCGCTACTTCCACCAGCTATAAATATGGCCAGATATATGTATGTAAAATATACTTCGAGAGGAGTATACTAGCACTTATTTTCCGCACATTCTAGCTGTCTTCCTATCTCCCGAGAGCTCCAACCCTGTAAGGGAGTTCTCAGCAGGAATGACCAGGGGAGTTGAGATTTCTCTTCTCATTTAGCCACTACTTTACTGCTTACCTAGTTTAGTTTATCATTTTAATTACATTTTTTTTGTAGAATTACAAGTTCCAGCTTTGGTAGTAAATAATGAAATATCATTTGTTCTTCGTCATCACTTCTTTCATGCTTTTTACATTTATATAAACCCTAGTTGAAAATAATTTCACTTCGCTGGTAAAGAGCACAGAAATATTGATTATCCAAACCTTGTCTTTTGTCACAAACATATTCAAGGTAGTTCAATGTAGTTAAGTTTGTGGGAGCCTTATCGACCTGCTTAACTACTGGTTTAAATTCAATTTCGATTAAAAAAAGGTAACATAAGGGTAGAGTCACTAATGAGGTAGAATTTGGGATAATTAATGGGGCATAGGCGGTGGTCTATTGGGTCGCAGAAACTCCTAGTAACAGTAGGGTTTCTTTCTTATAATGTTCTGATTTTGGGTGTCATTGAAGTCTTGTAGTAAATCTCTTAAGGTCAAGTACCAGCAATCAAAATTCATTATAATCTAGTTTATATATTTACATTACCCCCCTTCCTACCGCTTCCGTATTATACATATATGTTTCGATTAAACACCAGCATCACTTGCTCATTTCATCCAGGTTAACCTAGCCATTGAGTAACATACAGTTTAGACACAGCATCTCTCCATCACTCTCTACCGCTCAATCTATATAAATATATGTTGTGCCATCCGTTCATGTCCCTATCGCTCACCCATCGTTGGCACCTTGTCCGCTCACCACCGCTCCGCTCACCATTGCTCACTTTTTATCGCTTTTCTTTCCATCTTTCTATAGTCTAGGGTTCTGGCCCGCTGCAAAGCGGGTTCTTTTACTGTTTTTTCGCCGCTTTCATGAGATCAATACTTGATTTAAATTTGCAACTTAAGATCCCTGTATTTGACATGGAAACACACCAGTCAAAGAGTATAAATGATTATGACAAACGATTCAGGGTCTACAATCACAAATTTTTACTATATTTGATCGTTCACTATAATTCCTTACAATTCAATCTTCGAACAAAATTCCCTGTATTTGAATATATATACAAAAAATAGAGATGTCATCATCGTGTCGAGCTATGCTTTTGACTACGGTACTATCAACCAGCACAAAAACCTTTGTTTATGTCTCAATTTCTGGATTATTTTTCTCATGCCAGTATGGAGACCGTCTTTGAGACTTTATGTTGTCCTGAAGGGGTACCTCTCATAGTAAAGTCGGTCGTGCCGTTACAGTGCCAACCTGAACCTCAGGGAAAGGTTCATTATCCACTTTCATACCGGAGAGTTTGAGACTCTTGTTTTTTATGAATTTATGTATGATCATCCTAGAGTGAAGACAATTTGTGGTGACATCGAAATGACTTGTGCCATTTGAAATATATTTGCCCTTTGATTTCCTGAGGCAAAGCCAAGTTTCTTACCGTTAGGGATGCGGATTTGACATCCTTTTAGAGCTCATAAAAAATCGCATCGGCCTAGGTAATATCAAACAAAAAATTCTCGTTCAGTATCTAAGGCATGTCTTCATCCTTTAATGGCTTAAGATTGGAGCAAGTGTAAGGCTTGCCCGGTAC